TTAACTAAGCTAAACATGCTTAAATTAAAATGCCTAAAGCTAAACCTCCCTTGTATTTACATTTCTAAACCTGTTGTCCAACAAAAGAGAACACTATAACCTTTTTACTCCACAACACCAGTCAAATGCTTCCTTTTGTGATCTGATGTGGCTTCTTGTCACAGAATGAGGCAGAAAAATATGTTCCATAGGATACTTTAAAAAGAATACATCGATTAGCAATGGATTATAAATATACTTTATTATGAAAATACCAGAGATGGCTTGAATAACACGGATAAACTATATTGTTGCAGTCGAGTGTTTATTGTCTTTGTTTTATCATTCAAAACGTTTATATGTTCTGTTTACTCAGTTACAGCTATAATAGCGATGTCTTTGTCCATATAAGGCATTTCTTGGAGGGTCATGAGTTCCGCTACATCTGTGACTGGATATGTGGATTTTCTGTGCGAGGGCACCCTCTGGTGTCCAGTATGAATGAAACGGACATCATTTGTTATATTCTAATGGGCAATCCATAATTTTGGGGGGAATTTTTATTTATTTATTTATTGTTTAATTCGTATCGGTTTAGGCACCGGAACCATTTTAAAAGTATCGATTTGGCACCGGTATTGGGAAGAAGAAAAAAAACGATACCCAACCCTAATAAATTGTCATATTAAGCACCAAAATCAAATTGAAATTCAGATTGCCCCAATATTGAAATTCTGACCAATATCTTTAAACTGATGTTCATGTTGCTGATATTAACCATTAAATGGCCAGTATTAAAAAGTCAAATAATATATTTAACTGTTATTAATGTTTTTAATGATTAGTTTTGAGTGTTAAAGGATGGCAAAGGATCTAAATGACAAAATAGGGTAAATGAACAGGCACAATACAGTATGACCAAAAATTATAAATTAAAAAAAACTTCAACATCAATGATCAGTATGGGACAGATAACAGATATATTATGCATCAACGACTGAATACACTACCTGGGATCCGTGATTTTCTTTAAAAAAAAAATGTATTTGTAAATTGATAAAGTGACACTAAATGACATTTATAATGTTACTAAAGATTTCTATTTCAAATAAATGCTGTTTTTTTTTTCTTTTATTCATCCTAAAAGTGGTTTCCATGAAAATATTAAGCAGCACAGCTGTTTTCAACATTGATACTAAGAAACATTTATGAAGCACCAAATCAGCATATTAGAATGATTCCTGAAGGATCATGTGACACTGAAGATTGGCGTAATAGCCCCAAACTGTTTAATAGTAGTGTGTTAATAATGTTTCTTACCACTCTATTTTCCCTCCTTTTTGTCCCAGGCCAGAGTCCGACTCCAGTTCAGAGTCACGCTCTCGTTCCCGAACCCCAGGCAATGATAAGATCACTTTCATCACCAGCTTTGGGGGCAGTGATGATGAGGGAGCCTCAGCTGCACAAGCCCCACCTGCAGCGGTGTCAAGCCACACCTCCTCCAACACCGCAGGTCATAGCAGGGGCTCCCGGTCGGTAACTTCCCCTTTCTACATTATGGCTCCTTAGTGGCTTTTTTCTTCGTTTTTTCATAAGCTTGTTCAGCTGTGATAGCATGTAGCCAGTGTGCTAAGAGAATTGCCACAGGTTGAGCTTCAAAACGATTGGTGATGATTTAAAATAGATGAGAGACCAACCAAACCATTTTCTGTGTTGCCCATTTAGTATGTTGATTATTTTTGTGGCATATTCAGAGTTAAAACCGGTGTGGAATAATAAAATTGACAACTGGAAGCTCTGTGGCTTGTCTTGTGATTTAATAGATTTTTTTGTAGGTTGCTCGTAATGACATAGCACGTTGTGTATTTCTTTTAGCCGAAGACGTTCTTCCTCCAGTCACTCGTCCTTTTCCTCCCACTCCTCTTCACATCGGTCCTCACGCTCATCCTCACGTTCCCGCCGGAGTCGTCGTTCTCGCGGGGGCAGGGACCGCGACAGCCGTTACTCCAGGTCTCGCTCTCGCCGGCGGTCTGACTCCCGTTCACGGCAACGCAGTGGAGGAGTTGGCTCGAGGAGACGATACGACAGGACTAGGTCTCGTTCCACAGATCGGGGTAGAGACAGAAACCGTGAAAGAGACAGAGGCCGGGACAGGGGGAGGCGCTACACAGGCCGCAGACAAACCAGGCAAGAGAGCTTGCTAAAGAATTTCAAACCCTTGTAGATTCTTTGATTTTATTAAGAAAAAAGGGGTTTCTTTTTTTCTTTTGTGAAATTGATTGGATGAAACTCTCTCCATCAGGTCTCGCTCACATTCTCGTTCAGGTGATCGTTACCAGCGGCGGAGTTGCAGCTCAGCATACAGGAGGGGCGGGAGCATCAGTCAAAGCCCCTCCCACTCACCTGCAGCGAGCCGCAGCCTTTCCCCCTCCTCCCATTCTGCTCCACCTACATCTGCTTCTGCAGACAAACTGAGAAAGTAAGTTGCAACAAACCTGTAAGCACTGTATAGATAGACTTTACATTAAAAAAAGTCAGGGATGGGATTTTCCGCCCTGAGAAATATGACCCATGTAATTTCCATAAATTTGATAAAGAAATTCCTGCTTTTTCAAATATATTTTATGTTATCTAAGTGCCAAATGGGAGTAAAAATTGGCATTGGCAAGTATATGAAACTGTTACTCACCAGTTCGCTGTTTTTGCATTGGTTTTGAGAATGGGATATGGCCTAGTGCAATAATCAAATTGCAAAGATTATATTATACATATTAATTATATATATTTATATTTACTTCATAAAACTCAGGAAAAAGTTCACGCAAAGCCATGACCTGAAGGGAGACGCTTATAGAATTATATTAAAAGGCCTCTTACTTGCTAAAATAGTAAACTATCAGATGACATGAGGCATGTATTAGACTTTGCCCAACAGGGTTTTCCACAAGGTTTTGATTAGGAGTGTGCACAAATATTAGAATATTCTATCTGTAATTCTTATTATTCGAAAAATTAAAGCACTATTCAAATTTTACTACATGTTGCTTTGCTGGCCGTAAGTGCAGGGAATCCATGATAAATCCTAAGCTTGCAAACTAAAAGTCAGTTATAACTAAGTGCACTGGGTGGCGCTCTGGAGCATGTTAACAAGTTGATTTGTATTTGATCACAGAATGTGGTCGTCTGCCTCGCAGAGTTTGGAATTACTTTGATCAAAATGATCTTACAAAGTGGAATTGCTTTTGATCAAATAAATCAGTGAAACTGAGTTATTATAATATCACCGCCATAATGAGAAATCACATGAAATCCAAACACCAGTCGACTGAGGAAATACAGCTGTTTCACGACTGCAGGTAAACATAGCTGTACCCTGAGTGAGCCGAGGAGAGCATCTGATAGCGAAACGATCCTGAGACATACGCTTCCTTTAAAGGGTCATGAAACCCCGTTTCAGCACTGGTTAGTTCTCTCCACAGTTTAAAAAAAACTGTGGGCGTGGTGCGCTATGAGCGGAGGGGGAAGAGGGGAGACAGACAACACACACAGCTTCAGTTTAATTTCAAACTCCCATCGAGTTAAAAACACAAATAAATGCACAGCCATTTGCACTCTGTATCGAAAACATACATGAATGTGCTGTTGCACCTCTGATCACTTTTTAAGGCTTATTCTGCAACGATTATATAAGCTTTTTGATCAGTTGTGTCATGGAGCTGTAAAAACGGTTATACTCACTAAGTGAATGAATCGCGTTTGTGCCGAACTCTTATTAAAGAAGCAAAAACAAACACTCTCCTTCGATTTATGAACGTTTCCCTCAGTTAATGTACGTGATCTCACAGTCTGAAGCGTCTGTCATAGCAAATCAACCCATGCTGTTGTGAATAATTAAGCGAAGCGTCTTCTCATAGGATAAGAACACACAGTCTCATGAATAATTTAATGGACACCGACGTGTCATTGATGTACTATAGTCCATTGCTGCGTCACAAATTGTGACGTCAACACGATGTAGATTTTAAACCCGGAAGATGAAAATAGCGCAAAAAAGCTTAAAATTAACCAGTTTTCTCCAACAGTTAGAACTATCGAATGCTAACATTGTCTTCTATGATGTGCAACAAACACCTCTGCTAAAATCTCAGAAAAAGTAGTCTGGGTTTTCACAACTTGTAAGATTCTAAATCAACATTTGGAGGTGATAAGTGCTATATTAAGGCAATTATAATACAGCATTTTATGCTGTTCTCTGAGCCTGTCAATCAACATTAGCGCTCCACCCACAGGATAACTCTCTGCCAAAATGTTGTCTGCATGTGTTCAGAGATTAGAATATAAAGTTTACAAAATGTTTTAAATATATTAGTGCTACGACCCAGAATCTGCCCCACCTAAATTTTCGGTCAGGAGCAGCTACTGGCTAAAACAATGGCATACACAGATAATGACTGATAAAACTATGTTTTTACTAGCGGACAACTACATTGTGATTACTGTAACATTCGTTAAAGTTACTTCCTTGATGATGTTGTGTCCTAAAATGCCTTGAAGACTTGAATGCAGCCGTTTGTGATTCTTAATTCGCGCCCGCGAGCATACGCGTGTGAAGTGCAGACACCGATGCGGGAGTGGTGGGTCTAACTCCGGGCTACTTTTACACTGTTGCCATGGGTTATAATGCAAGTTAGCGGTTCTAATTTCATGCTAGTGATAGCAATCTATCCCTTGACGTTATTGGATTGTGACGTAGCAAACCGAGGGCTGTTTCAAACCACATTTCTGGGACTGCCATTGGGAAACTACAGTTTTAAGGAGAAAATACTTTGCAATGGTGTTGATTAATGGGTTGGCATATGGTTTGTCTAAAAGCATATTAAAAACACCACATAGACAAATAAACAGCATAACTTGATTTTCACTATGGGGGACTTTAAGCAGCATACTTCGCAAAACACAAAATTTATGTCACTGCCAAAACTTTTCCATTATACTGTAATTGGCATGGTCTGCTTTGTTTTCAGTTTCCTTGGCTTGAGCTTGAGTGCTTTTGTTCTTTTTACAGTGGTATGTGAAAGTTTGGGAACCCCTTGCAGAAAATGTGAATAATTTTAACAAAATAAGAGAGATCATACAAAATGCATGTTATTTATGTTTAGTACTTTCCTGAGTAAGATATTTTAAATAAAAGATGTTTACATTTAGTCCACAAGAAGAAAAATAGCTGAAATGATTAAAATAACCACATTCAAAAGTTTGGGAACCCTTGATTCTTAATACTGCGTGTGGTTACCTGGATGATCCACGACTGTTTTTTTTGTTTTGTGATGGTTGTTCATGAGTCCCTTGTTTGTTCTGAACAGTTAAACTGAGCACTGTTCTTCAGAAAAATCCTCCAGCTCATGCAGATTCTTCAGTTTTTCAGCATCTTTTGCATATTTGAACCCTTTCCAGCAGTGACTATGATTTTGAGATTCATTTATTTAAATACACAATAAACACAATTATTAAATAAGGTTCAAACATTCACTGATGCTCCAGAAGGAAAACTGAAGAATCTGCAGGAGCTGGAGGATTTTTCTGAAGAACAGTGCTCAGTTTAACTGTTCAGAACAAACAAGGGACTCATGAACAACCATCGTGGATCATCCAGGTAACCACACACAGTATTAAGAACCAAGGGTTCCCAAACTTTTGAATGTGGTTATTTTAATCATTTCAGCTATTTTTCTTCTTGTGGACTAAATGTAAACCTCTTTTATTTAAAATATCTTACTCAGAAAAGTACTAAAAATAAATAACATGCATTTTGTATGATCTCTCTTATTTTGTTAAAATTATTCACATTTTCTGCAAGGGGTTCCCAAACTTTCACATACCACTGTAAAAAGAACAAAAGCACTCACTTAGTACTTAATACTTAGCACTGTATATAAAAAAATTTAACACACATTTTCAACTAAATGAAAACCTTGAGATATAACTTTACGTTGTTGTAGAACATTGTTGTTTATGATGCCTAATCATAAGCTTGTTCAGAAACGGTGCCAAAAACTTGATTATTAAAAACTAACTTCTTTCTGTTAAATGTAATTTAAATAAATTAATATTCAAATATTTGTTCTTTATGAGCCCAAATATTCGAATACAGTATTTTTGAAAAATACCCATCCCTAGTTTTGATCATGTTGATACGGGGTAGAGACAGAAACCGTGAAAGAGACAGAGACCGGGACAGGGGGAGGTGCTGCACAAGCCGCAGACAAACCATGATACAGTAGGGTTTATAGGGTTAAGAAGTATTAGTGTTCCAATTTTATTTCTGTAAAATTAAATTATTAATATTCTATGTTTTCATTATTATTTATATTTTTGTCACATGCCTCAAAGGTGACAACTGACCAAAAATTCTGTATCAAATTTTTTTTTTCTTCCCTAGGCCTGAAAATCCGGGTGGTAAAGAGACTGGAGCTGCCAAAGTCAGTAAGAATTTGATGTATCTCGAATTTGTTGCTAAAGACTCCGCCTCCCTCACCCCTGACAGGCTGATGCAGTTAACAACCAGGCTGGGGCTCCTGCCCATCTCTTGGCTCTTCAGAGAGCCCTTGTTCTCATTTTAGATGTGTTTTTGATTGGCTGTACACTTGGTGATCAGCTGCCCTCTGTTTGCAGAATGCAGTGGTCTTTTGAAGAGCAGCCATGTCTGAACTTACCCAACTCACCCTTCTTTTTTTTTTTTTTTATAAGAATGATGCAGGGAGTGACCAACTCTATCTCTAAAGGACCCAGATATTTCTGTGTGCTCTTCTTTGGAACTGCTATAGATTTGTTTTCTATTTAAGGAAATGATACATGCACTTCTTATTTATCTAAGTATTATCTAAATGATGGGTTGTTGATAGACACCTGTGAATGAACGTGAGCTGATGAAAGGGAAACTACAAAGGAATAAAGGATCTTAGCAGGTTTGCTACGCAGTTAAACAGCTCAGGTGTTGCTTCTGCACTGGGTGCAGGGAGTGACCAACTCTATCTCTAAAGGACCCAGATATTTCTGTGTGCTCTTCTTTGGAACTGCTATAGATTTATAGATAGATACATGCACTTCTTATTTATCTAAGTATTATCTAAATGATGGGTTGTTGATAGACACCTGTGAATGAACGTGAGCTGATGAAAGGGAAACTACAAAGGAATAAAGGATCTTAGCAGGTTTGCTACGCAGTTAAACAGCTCAGGTGTTGCTTCTGCACTGGGCTTGTTAAGACAGGCAGAGCAACTTCACTCACTCAAACACACAAAACACACCTGCATAAGTCAATACAGATTGTCGTTGTGTGTAAAGGTTGAACAGCTTCAAGGCAGCACCTTCTGAAATGGCTACAGTAGCTGCCATTTCGTAACTGTTCCATGGAATTGACGTACCTGACCTGGTGAGAAGAAGAGTGGACATAACGCTGTACTGTTCTAAATGGCTGCCTTCATTTGTCTGTTCACACTTTGCCATATACCTAAAATGCATCTATAATGTAAACATCACAGGCATTTCTTTGAAACCGGACCGTCTGCTGCTGTTCAACATGCAGCATATAAATGATCTGTATGTAGTTTAAAACACTCGTCCTTCTGCATGACATGACACAACTTTAAGCTAGTTAAATAGATTCCTGCTATTCTTTGCATAAACTTCCGTCCTACTTGTTCTAAAGTCATTGTGTCCATTGCAGCCCAAAATGACGCCACAAGAGAAGCTCAGACTCCGAATGCAGAAGGCTCTAAACAAGCAATGTGAGTTACTATTTCAGGCATCCACAAACCATCATCTTATTCCATATTTATGCTAGGCATGCACAGTATATCGGTACCATATCAGTTAGTATTTATTTATTTTTTAAATATTTATCAGTCGAAATTGGATATTTAATTTTTCATGCTCATTTCTGTCGGTTCTTATCTTTGACATCAACTATTGCTCAAATGATTTTATAACACTGATAAATTTAATCGTTAGCAAGTTTCAAAATAAAAAAATCTGTCTTTAATACATTACCATTCAAAAGTTTGGGGTCAGGTGTTTATATATATATATATAATTAACACTTAAAATTTTTGTTTACTGTCACTTTTGAATCTTGAAAAAAAAATGCATTACTGTTTCCACAAAAAAAAAAAAAACTTTTTTTTTTTTCAACATTGATTGTTTCTTGAGCCACCAAATCAGCATGATTTTTAAAGGATCTTGTGACAGTGAAGACTGGTGATGATCTCTTTTAAATTATCTTGTGGCTGCTCAGCTTTGCCATCACAGTAATCAATTACAATTTAAAACGCACTACAATAAAAAAATGTTATTTTAAATCATTAATTTGATTAGTTTTTTTGTTTGTTTGATCTTTTATCTATCGATACTGTCTGTTCCTGGCGTGTGTGAGCCCAGGACATGTATACATTTAAAAAAAAAAATTTAAGAAATTATGCTTGTATAATATTAACTCTTATGCTTGTGCTGCCTTTATTTGACTAATAAAACGGTAATACTGTGAAATATTATTGAATTAAAAACAATTGTTTTCTATAATAAAAAAATATCATTTATTCCTGTGGTAGCAAAGCTGAATTTTCAGCAGGCTGGAGTAATGGCTTCAGGAAATGGTCTTGAGTGTCACATGAACCCTCAGAAATCATTTTAATATGTTGATTTGTTGCAAGAAATATTATCAATAACTTCTGTGCATCTTAATATTTCTGTGGAAACTGATACTTTTTTCACATGATTCTTTGATGAATAGAAACTAAAAGTTAAAAAGAACAGCTTTTTAAATAGAAATGTAGTATTATAAAAGTCTTTAATGTGAAGTGAGTGAGTTTTAAGTGAAGTGACATGTGGCCAAGTATGGTTACCCATACTAGGAATTAGTGCTCTGCATTTAACCCATCCTAAGTGCACACACACAGCAGTGAACACACACACACCGTGAACACACACCCAGAGCAGTGGGCAGCCATTTATGCTGCGGCGCCCGGGGAGCAGTTGGGGGTTCGGTGCCTTGCTCAAGGCCACTTCAGTCATGGTATTGAAGGTGGAAGAGATTCACTCCGTGGGGACCTAAATTCTGCCGGACCGGAGACTCGAACTCGCAAGTCCAACGCTCTAACCATTAGGCCACGACTTCCCCACCAATGTCACTTTTGGTCATAAAAGTATTAATTTCTTCTTATTTTTACTGACCTCAAAGTTTTCAACAGTAGTGTACGTCACTTTCCTAAGCTGTCTATGTTATGGAAAAGACAAGTAAAATAAAAGCCTGTTGACCCTGCCTCACCTTCTGCTTTCAACTTCATCAGCCAAGGCGGATAAGAAGGCAGCACATGCCAAGATCCAGCAACAAGAGCACAAGAGACAGGTAAAAGTGTGGGTGTACAGTTGGTATGTGGGTGGGTGGGTGGGGTGATTCCAGGTAGTTCTGAACCTTAACGCTCAAGTTTTTTTGTCCCCCTCCCATCACAGGAACGAGAAGGAGTACTTCGTACAATGGCACGGAAAATACGCATGAAGTGAGTCCGAGCATGTATATACATGTGCAGCATGTTCACGTTGTGGGAACTGTCCTCTCAGTTTGTAAAGCAGAGGATACAGTTTGGTCATTGTTTGGTCTTGTAGGGAGCGGGAACGGCGGGAAAAAGAGAGAGATGAATGGGAGAGGCTGTATGGTCGTCAGAGTCACTCGCCCTCCCCCAATGCCAAATACAGTGAGTTTATTTGGGCTGCAAGAGCCTCCCACCAAAGAATCCCCGTCTTCGTATAGTGATAGTCATGTTGTTATCCACATTATGAAAGACTCATTCTGTGGATTGAATTGTGCTTTATTCTTGGTAGTGAAGGATTCTATAGATATACAGGGTGGTAACAATTAAGACAAGCAAAATCTAACTCAAGAAGATTCTAATCATAAATCTTGAACACCCCACAGGTCGAGACTACAGCTATAGTGATAGTCATGTTGTTATCCACATTATGAAAGACTCATTCTGTGGATTGAATTGTGCTTTATTCTTGGTAGTGAAGGATTCTATAGATATACAGGGTGGTAACAATTAAGACATAAGCAAAATCTAACTCAAGAAGATTCTAATCATAAATCTTGAACACCCCACAGGTCGAGACTACAGCTCATCTAGAAGGTATGCTGAAACCAGTCTGGACCAGCCACACTTGTCCATTTCATCTAAATGTACTGTTGTTCAGGCTCATTTCAACCATTTCTACTGTCTTCCTCAATAGGAGATCACGCTCAAGATCACGGAGTCCTCATTACCGGTACTGAAGCTTCTGCTGATAAAACAGTCAGGCCACAAGATGTCAAAACAGATGTTTTAGGAGTGAATGGTGACCATGATGGCAAGAGTTTACATAGAATTTTGGGGAAAACAATATCAATCAAATAAATTTCACTCACTTCAACTTCTCTTTTACATCTAAAGGATGCAATGGAAACAACGTCATTTCTAAAATGTGAAAATAAACACCATCATGCTCTGAAACCACATTTCGCCTCCCATTCTTGATATTACACAGCAGGGTTGCCAGGAATGCTTTGAGCTGCTAGGATTCTAATAAGCGTTGCAGATTATTTTGAGTCGATCTGTGTTGAATTCTGTGACATAAGATTGGGATGAACCGTATTCTTTCCCGTGTCTCTTACCCCCATTCTCTTTTTTTATTTTCAATTTATTTGTACAGGGACAACGCACAACAACAGTGTTGTGCCAGAGTTAGCTATAAAGCTAATTTGCATCTGCAGTCCCTGGGCAGGATGTTGTTACAAAATTACAATATTAAGTCACACATAATACAGTACACACAACACATACAATATCACACTATACTCCATTAAATTACAAAACCAAGTCATTAAAGAGAGAGTTCACCTAAAAATAAAAAAAAACACTTAATTCTGTCATTTACTCACCCTCATGTTGTTCCAAACACATATGACTGACTTTCATGAACCACGTAATTCTGCCTAATGTCTCCTTTTGTGTTCTATGGAAGAAAAACAAGATCAGTGAGGGTCATTAAAAGACTTGTCGTTTTGAGGTTATCCGTCTCTTTAAACGGTGAATCTACTCATTTTACCATACCTTCATTTGAGAGTGATGAAACTTCTTAAACAGAAAATGTAGATTCTAAATGGCATAATATTTTTCACTCGGCAATGTAAATATCTGGTGGTTTTTCTTGTAGTAGAAACAATCATCAGTGATGACAGATTTTGACATTGAAATAAAAAGCTAATCGTTGATGAAAAATAACCTCGTCTTCAGTGTGTTTTTGCTCATGTACGTAGAAAACAACCGTTACCTATTGTAACCGCCAGATGCCGCGCCTCACCATTAGAAGTAACATGCGTTTCGACTCGAACTGCTGTTCTTTTGAATGGGCATTTGACCACTTTATACACGAAGACGCATTTCGGCAGTCCCCGCGTGGCTGTATCTGCCTCCACCATCCACAAAAAAGAAGCAAGTGTCTGAAAGTAAAGCGACAGTTACTTTGGGTTTCGAAATAAGCCGGACAGCAAAACAAACACCTGTCTCAGTCGACCTCGATAAAGCCACTTCCTCTTCACCCACATCCTTAACCAGCACATTTTATTGGTGTCAGAGCAGCAGCTGCGCGCCATCAACGCGACTATTGACATAATTCTCCTATACGACAGATAGATAAGGAATAGAAAGAGTTTGGATCATTTAAAGTGCCCCTGATGCTGTTGCCTAAGCAGAGTTGTTTAACGAGGTCAGTTGTGATGAGACAGAGGGATGAGGAGGATGATGATGATGGGCGGGCTGAAGGGCTGGAGGCGTTGCTCATGCCCTCCTCCTCCTCCTCCTCCTCCTGTAGGGCCAGCAGACAGACGGTGTGAACTTGAACACTGACGGGCACGGCACTGAACGACAGTCAAAAGTCCCGCATCACTGCCGTTTTCTGAGATTTCTAGTGTCCGCTTAGTTCTGGTGTAGTTTTCGAGGATCTTCTCTCACTATGTCCAAACGTAAACTCGGCAGCAGACCGCAACACCTGAGCTCAATGCAAGGTAAGCATGATTTAAGACAACTTTATCCACATTCAAACGCTAAAACGCAACATATATGTATGGAGAACCGAATATGGCTCATGTGTGAGCATGAGAGTACGACTCGTAATCAATGTAATAACTTTTCACGTGGTTTGTGTCTCTCCAGAGCGAGTGCAGAACTTGACATTGGAGTTGAAATAATAACTTCCCCTCATGTTTTTATTTGTACGTGTTGCTGACGAGCGTTCAGTATATTATCAGTAGCCATTCCGTGTCAAATGTACATTTACAGGCTGTTTAAGAGAGTTTAGGGTTAACGTTAAGTTTCTCAGACACTCTGACCGAGTTGGAGCAATAACATATAGCACTTCCTTATTGCATCTTCACAATATCTTTGTTTTGTGTCGTCACTTTCATACCTTAACGTCTACTTCTTAAATTTTCCATTAGGTTTTATTTTATTTACACACATCCTCATTTTCTGACGGTACTGAACACGTTGTTTTACCCGTTGACAAGTGCGCTTCGTCTGAATATCATTTTGTTTATTGATATAAATATTTGATTGGTAAACATAGTCACCGTAAAGCGTGTGCGTATACATATTGCTGTGAAATATTGTTTTGATCATGACAGGATCTTTTTGTTGTTTGTTTTATCTTCTCTAACTGTGAGTAGCTGTGCGTGCCTCACCTGACCACAAGACTTGAGTCTAGTTTCATGTGTGTGCGTTATTGTCCGAATCGTGAATGTTCTTTGAGTTAGATTTGTTCAATGAATCAGTATAGCATCCGAATCAGTATAGCATCCGAATAGCATAAATATTAAAAATTAAACTTGCTCAAATGTTGGATTTACTTAATTACATTTTTAAACATAGGTTACTAAAAATATTTAATTTGAGATGCAAGTTAGTTTTAGTATTGTTTATAATGCAAATACAAATTACATTTAGTTTCTAACTGACTTTGTTTTTATTAGCTAAATCATGGTTGCAATTGAACTGAGACACGTTAAATCACAGTAAACATCCACATTAATAGAAAACGCTAATAAACCGCAACAGGCGCCTATTAATGGCTATACTGAACTATTTAGAGCATGTAATATATTCCCACAGCGAGATGTTTTCACGTTATCACGTGGTCCTTGACAACCGCTGAACGCTCGAAAGAACCGATTCACTTAAATGAGTCGGACTTCCAGTTACTAATGTGTGTGTGAGAAGAGCAGCCGCGCCTTTTGCGTGTCGGCACAAACAACCAGAGCTGCTGAAACAGGAAAGGTGACATTTTTGAGTAACCACTGGTGAAATCCTCCCTTCCCCGGGACTGTCTGTACCTGCATCGGCATGGACAGCTTAGCCCGGGCAGGTGGATCCAGTCCAGGCTGTGTGTGTGTGTGTGTGTGTGTACACACAAGGTTTTTCTATACTGGTGGCGACTTAAACCTGAATACACACCAACTCATGGGGACTTGTGTCACCGTGGGGACCTAAATTGAGGTCCCCATGGGTACAGAAGCTTATAAATCTTACAGAATTAGTTTTTTTGAGATTGTAAAAATGTACAAAGTTTTCTGCGAGGGGTGGGTTTAGGTGTAGGGCAATAGAAAATACAGTTTGTACAGTATAAAAACCATTACGCCTATGGAGAGTCCCCACAAGGAGTGTGTGTGTGTGTGTGTGTGTGCGCGCTCTGGAGTCCATGATCACAGCGGCACCCAGGCCAAAGGGCAAGTTCCTCTCTGAACTCGATGTCTCAACACAGCCAAGTTAAAGGTGGTCAGAGTAGTAAAATAAAATAAGATGTAGTAAAATATGCAGATTTGATCCACCTCAGGTGGCCCTGATGCTGCTTTGCTACTGTGTGAATGAAATGCAGGAACATTGCATCCTTAAACATTGTCTTTATTATTGGAGCGTATATATTTTAATGTTTCTATGTTCGTGAATTCATTTTAAAAGATTAATTTGGTACTGGAAAAAAAGTACTTCTCGTGTATTTCCCGCTGTGCAGCATTATTCCGTTTAAATGCATTTTTTGCAGTATATATATGCAGCTTCTGTGCCACTTTGCAGTATAAAAATAGCATTATATTCACTAAGGGACAAAATATTAAAGTGACTTCCAGTTTAGGCACAGATACATTTTTAAAAGCTTGTGTTAACCCACTCAAAGTAGACTTTTTTTCATAGTCTTGGTAGCAAAATCCTGTTTGGCTCAGCTTTGGCCTGGCTAGATTTACATACTGCATCGCTCATTCGCCACAGCGGTTATGAGTGGTGTGAAAGTCACCTTGTTTTGATCAGCAGACTTGTGAACGTGGTAAGACGACTACAGTGCAATGTGCCTGATACATCAGCATGCTCTAATGGGCGAATTGCTCAAGCGGGTCGGAGCTGCATCGCGCTGCTTCCTGTGCAAAGCAGACCTCGGTGGCAGAGACACAGGAAGTGGTCAGTGTCTGCTGACCAGACAGAGCCGTGCTGATGATTACAGTTTAGCAGTACGCCGACGAATGCAGAGAACTGAAAGTAGCACATTAGAAGAGAAACAAGGCTTTTGCAAAGCCACTCACTTCGGTCATTTCAAGAGTTACAAGGCAGTCTCTGAACAAAGAGTGTTTTTACAGCTTTTTTTGTGTTGTTCTGCTCACAGATGCTCCGGATTCCACAGTTATCCCCGCCGACTCCTCGCCATCACCTGAGCAGGTGCCTCAGCCTGATGATAGAGGTCGTGACCTGTTGACATGTGGCCAGTGTGGTCAAGCCTTTCCATTGGCCCACATCCTCACCTTCATCCAGCACAAACAGGGCGGGTGCGGCACAGCTAGAGCCAGGCCTCAGGTCCACACTCCTCCCTCTCCGGCCAATCGGACGCTGCGATTTGGCCAAAGAATGCAGGTGGAGGCGGGTTACGTGGAGCTCCGGCGTATGACGGACAAGAGATGGAAGGAAGAGCCAGGTGTGAGGGTGGAGGCCAACCGAGCTGGTGAGTTCTAGGTGCTAATTAGTGTCTTTTTTTTTCGTAAAACTGTCCCCTCATTTAACGACCTTGTCCCCAGTCCGGCTCATTAGACTGCTGTTGCTGTGGCGCTGAGGCCTTGGTGAGTTCAAGAGTTAGAGACACCGGGCCTAATTGTGTGGAAGAGATAGGTAGTTCTGCTACACACGCGAGCAAACGTACACTTATACATGCACCCTGGGGGATGGCAGAAAGGCACCTGAGCACACCTGAGCATCTCCTTAGCTCTGTCTCTCAGGTGAAGTGGCCATGTAAACACAGCACAGTCAGGCCACCAAACTGCACAACTCCCAGAGCTCTCGCGCACACACACACTTTCCTCAAACCCCTCATTATTCCAGCACTGTCAGTCAGAGCAGGTGCTGACATGGGGTTATTCCCAGAGTCCTTTGTGAATTGCTTCGTTCCTGTCCTCTTATGGCACTATTCAAAATAGTCTTGAAATTTGATGTTTTTCCCGTTGTTGACCTTGAGTTATGAATCTGTTGCCTGTTGAAGCACCGTACAGTCTTAAAAATAAAGGTTCCAAAAGCAGATTTTTTGCAAAGAACCATTTTGGGTTCCCAAAAGAACCTTTCAGTGAACAGTTCGTAACAGTTTGTTTACT